CAGACACTGCAGCAGCCACAGCGTCCCACATGGGATGCCGCATGTGATGATGTTATGCTCCTCGTGATGACCTCAGGCATGAGGAAGAGGTTCAGCCATTTCACAGTCTGTTTAACAAGTACATACATAACCCAGACGTACATGAGGAATCTCAGAAACCAAATAATTCAGAGTCTGGGATTCTTTCAAAAGAGTTGCCTCTGCCCAAGCTTTCTTCAAATTCTGTCTATAGGGAAACATAGCTGTCAATGTCTCATTCCCGAAGCCTTCCAGATGCCTGGATCTTTAGAGTTCTCTCCCTCACCCTGAGCTGAGTACACAAATGTTCTGGAGGTTTGCTTAGTGCCCTGCTCTGTGCCGGGCCCCACAGGCAGAGGTGGCAGGTACCCAGGCCTGACATTGGAGAGCTCCTGCGCCACTGCCGGAAACACACACACCGCCACACCGTGAGGGAGCTCCCCCGTGCAGGCCTCATCTGTGTCACAGTGAAGCCAGAGGACGGACGGGGGAGTCCAGGAGAAGAGAAAAGAAGATGGATTCTCAAACATGAGCAAGCAGGAGAGGCCGTTTAAAATGCAGACCCTGGCCTGGGTGCGGGGCGATGCCATGTAATCCCATCAGCCATTTTGGGAGCGAGCAGCGGAGGATCACCTGAGGTCAGGAGTGGGACAGGCCTGGCCAACATGGTGAAACGCTTGTCGTCTACTAAAAAAAGTAAATAAGAAATAAAGAAATTAGTATTAGCAGTCTGCGTGGGGGCGCGCCGTAACCCAGCTACTCGTGGAGCTGAGCAGCGAGAATGCTGAAACCTGGTGCGTCTTAGGGGAGGTGCGGAGCGAGATCACATCACTGCACCCTAGTGCCTGGGCAACGAGGAGACTCTGTGTCAAAACAAAAGAAACTAAAAACTAAAAATAAAATGCAGACTCCTGGGCTGGATTCCAGGTCCAGTGCATCAGAACCTACGGGAGAAGGACCAGGAATTTGTGATACGAACATCCCCAGGCAATTCTTGACCCTCCTTTTGAGACCTACGCTGTAAAGGATGGATAGAGGGAGAGGCAGCAGGAGCCCAGCCTGGGAAGGAGCCATGGGGGTAGGCGGGAGGAGGGGCAGGAGAGAGCGTGTGCGGCAGCAAATCCTTCAGCCCTTACTCCCCAAGAACTCACAGCAACCTCCACGGAGGGTAATGGTTTCATTATCCCCTTTTCGCAGATAAGGAAACTGAGGCAGAGAGGCCCTGCCTGAGGTCACCCAGCTGGTGGGAGGCGGAGACAGGCACCAGCCCTCATGGTCTCACTGAGACTGGACTCTTCACAGCTGTGCTTTCGAGTCTGAGCCAAGTAAAGAGAGGACTAGCAAGAATTTTTGTACTTCGAAGTCTGGGACATAAAATCTTCAAGACGTCAGCGTCAGTGACACGATGGTGACAGAGGCCAGCATTGCTGGAAGGATCCTTAAAAGGGACAGGATGGGCCCTTCTTCCTCCCTTTCTCCTTTTTGGCTGCTGGAATACTAATGCAATGGCTTGTTCCACAGCCACTTTGGACTCAGAGCTGTCTTTGAGACCTGAACCAAGTCTAGGACAATGGAGTAAAAAGATAGGATCCTGGGCTCTCAGTGACTATGGATCCATTATTTCACCCCTGAACTGATACCTTGATACTTCTTATTTTTGGTGGTGGTGGTGGTGGTGTAGCTTCTATTTCGTTGGCATCTCTGTGATCTATTCATAATTCACCAGTTTTAGCTGAAACATGGAGCCAGATAGAGATGGGCTCAAGGGCTTCCTGATAGGAAGACTTGGATTCTGGTCCTGACCCTCCTGTTACTACTGTTATGTACGTGGTTAGGTACAGGTTAGACCCCAGCCTGGCCTTTGTAAAATGAGCTCAATGATCACTGCCCTCCCTACTGTACAGTGTTCATCTGAACTGAATGAGGTCAAGCATGTAAAGATGGTTTGCACGTGGCAGCACAATCACAAATGGAAGGGTGTATACTGCCTGGGTGGGCAACTCAGCCACCAGTTGGCCAGGCAGGGGCTCCATCCAACCCAATTGGATTGAGCCAATGGCCAACGAACCCCATTTGCTAATTTACCTCTTGGCTCCTTCTAGGGACAGCAGTTTCCTAATGTACCTCCACCTTGGAAGCCTCCTTGGTCCGTGGGAGGGAGAGGGGCTGTGGGTGTTCGTGATGGGAAAGGTCAGAGAGGATGGGATGTTCCATCAGCCAACCACTCAGAAGGAGAAGAGCGCCACCAACATCACGAGCTCTCTTCTAGTGGACATGTCTAGAGATACGTGGCTCAGCCCGGCGTTGCTGCTTGTGGTCACCCACTCTTGACTAAATACAGTGCTCTAAATACGGTTGCTCCCAAAGAGACTGTGGGCTGTCCTCACCAGCCGTCCTGTCCCACCGCCACCAGAAGAAACCTCTTCTTATTATTAATTCCCTAACCAATTGCAGATATTGCAGATGGTCTTAAAGGAACTGCCAGAGAACAAAGTTTCCTCTGATCAAAGTATCTTAAGAGGTGTCTACTCTCATTAGATGCCAGTGATAAAAAGGAACAAAAGTTTTTCTCAAAGAATGTAAAGGAAATGAGATCAGTGATGATAGGTCTAATTGTGGACATGTTTGCTTCGACCTTAGCATGGACACTCACTCAGTGGGTGCCAGACATGATGCAGTGGCTTGGCGCAGGTTATGTGATGTTTTGTTTTGTTTGTTTGTTTGTTTGAGACAGAGTCTTGCTCTGTCATCCAGGCTGGAGTGCAGTGGCACGATCTCGGCTCACTGCAACCTCTGCCTCCTGGGTTCAAGCAATTCTTCTGCCTCAGCCTCCTGAGTAGCTGGGATTACAGGCATGTGCCACCATGCCAGGCTAATTTTTGTATTTTTAGTAGAGATGGGTTTTTGCCATGTTGTCCAGGCTGGTCTCGCACTCCCAACCTCAAGTGATCTGCCCACCTTGGCCTCCTAAAGTGTTGGGATTACAGGTGTGAGCCACTGCACCCGGCCAGGTTATGTGATTTTTAAAGTCCCACTGTATTTTATTAAGGAGTTGATTGAGCCTCAAGGAAGTAAAGCAACTTATCCAGAACATATAGCTACGAAGCTAGAAACTCAAGATTCCAACTAGGTCCATCCAATTCCAAAAGCCCGGTGAATTTTCTATTACTTTCTATGGGAAGTTTTCAGGTTTAGTATAAAGCAACATTTCTTAATTATGAATATAATCTTATGTACCCAAATTGCACATTAAAGCGTAGTCCTTTTGATCCTTCTTTCCTCTTTTCTAATAGTTTTACAAGGCCTCAAAGGAATAGAACTCTAAATCTGTTTTATTAAATTGCTTTAGTTTTCAAACAAAAATAGCTCCTGTTGGTTTATCTTTAGCTGTTAACCTAAACACATTCCTTTTTTTTTATCGCTGCAAAATAATGTGTATTTAAAAGATATTCTGTCTCCTCTTTAATATTATGTGGAAATAAAATTTTCTGGTGTCCAAGGGGAGTTGGCCATTTTGACGACTGGTGTCTCATCTGAGGTCAGAGGTGAGCCTTGCAACGTAGAAATGATGGGGGTGAAAAAGGAAAAGCTCAGCTTCAATAACTGAGCTAAGCACGGCGGTGAGGAGCACAGGCTTCAGAATCTCACAGCCCTGGTGCCTTGCCAGCGCCTAGTTTCCTTACCTGTAAAACAACTGACAGGATTAAGAGAATTAAATTATAATAGTTGTGTGTTAGTGGCGAGGCAGCATGAATAATGGCTCTAAGTGTGAATTCTGGGTTGATTCTCTCTGTGCCTCAGTTTTCCACATCTTTTTTTTTTTTTTTTTTATGAGAGGGAGTCTCGCTCTGTCGCCCAGGCTGGAGTGCAGTGGCACAATCTTGGCTCACTGCAACGTCCACCTCCAGGGTTCAAGTGATTCTCCTGCCTCAGCCCCCTGAGCAGCTGAGATTACAGGTGCTCGCCATCACACTTGGCTAATTTTTGTATTTTAGTAGAGATGGGGTTTCACCATGTTGGTCAGGCTGGTCTCAAACCCCTTACCTCAAATGATCCGCCCACCTCGGCCTCCCAAAGTGCTGGGATTACAGGAGTGAGCCACTGCGCCCAGCACTGTTGGTGCTACACACCGAGTGTAGCTGTTGGTGCCTATTATTCCAGAACCCCGAGAGGCGTGGCATAAAACAGGATGTAGGGCAAAACCCACTCACCTCCCAAAACTCAGGCCACCCACACATGGGCCGGCACAATGAGAGCACATTGAAGTGACCAGGGAAGTTTGAGTACCATGGTTTGCTCTCAAGGAACTTAAATCCTAAAATGTACATGAAATCCTGAGGGAAAAAGACCTCACAAATATACTACACAATAGGAGCTGTTTCACCAGGTTAATTGCCAATGAGAAATGCAATATTTCTATTGACAGAGCAAGACTTCCTTTAGCACCTGTGGCTTGCTGAATAGTGGCCACCAAAGATATCAAGGTTCTGTTCCCTGGAACCTATGAATGTTGCTCTTTATATGGAAAAAGGTCTGCATATGTAACCAAGTCAAGGATTTTGAGATGTGGAGATGGTTTTAGATTACTCAGGTGGGCCCTAAATGCAATCTCAGGTGTCCTTGTAAGAGGGAGGCAGAGGGGGATTTGACACAGGATGAGAAAGTGGTGTGGCCACAAGCCCAGGAATGCCAGTGGCCACCAAAAGCTGGAAGAGGCAAGAAACAGGTCCTCCCTGGGGCTTCTGGAGCGAGTGCTGCCCTGCCAACAGCTTGCCTTGGCTGTCTTGTCTGTCCTGTCCTATGCTTTTAATTTTCTTTCTCTCTCTCTATTATTTTTTTTTTTTGAGATGGAGTCTTGTTTTGTTGCCTGGGCGGGAGTGTGGTGGTGTGATCTTGGTTCACTGCAACCTCTGCTTCCTGGGTTCAAGTGATTTTCCTTCCTCAGTCTCCCAAATAGCTGGGATTACAGGCGCCCACCACCACACCCGGCGAATTTTTGTATTTTTAGTAGAGATGGAGTTTCATGCCAGGCGCGGTGGCTCACGCCTGTAATCCCAGCACTTTGGGAGGCCAAGGTGGGCAGATCACGAGGTCAGGAGATCGAGACCATCCTGGCTAACACAGTGAAACCCCATCTCTACTAAAAATACCAAAAATTAGCCGGGCGTGGTGGCGGGCGCCTATAGTCCCAGCTACTCGGGAGGCTGAGGCAGGAGAATGGTGTGGACCTGGGAGGCAGAGCTTAAAGTGAGCCGAGATCGCACCACTGCACTCCAACCTGGGCGACAGAACGAGACTCTGTCTCAAAAAAAAAAAAAAAAAAGAGATGGAGTTTCACCAGTTGGCCAGGCAGGTCTCCAACTCCTGACCTCAAGTGTTTCTCCGACCTTGGGCTCCCAAAGTGCTAGGATTACAGGCGTGAGCCACCCAGCCACTGTGCCTGGCCCACTTCCCTCCCCTCCCCTCCCCTCCCTTCCCCTCCCCTCCCCTCCTCTTCTCCCCTCCCCTCCCCTCCCATCCCTTCCCCTCCACTTCCCTCCCCTCCCCTCCCCTCCCTTCCCCTCCCCTCCCTTCCTCCTCCTCTCCCCTCCCTCCCTTCTTTCCTTCTTCTCTCTTTCTTTCTTCTTTCTTTCTCTCGCTCTCTCTCCCTTCCCCCTCCTCCTTCGCCCCCCTCCTTTCTCCCTTCTCCCTTTCTCTTTCTTTCTGAGACAGGGTCTCACTCTATCACCCAGGCTGGAGTGCAGTGGTGTGATCAGAACTCACTGTAGCCTCAAACTTCTAGGCACAAGCGATCCTCCTGCCTTAGCCTCCTGAGCAGCTGCAACCACAGCCACTATACCTGGTTTAATTTCTGTTGTTTTAAGTCACCAAGCCTGTGGTAATTTGTTTTCAACAGCCATGACAAACTAATATAGCACTGTTGACTGTCAAGTGAGGCCTGCAACAGTGGAAACTTTATAGTTCTGAGTGGTCAGCTGTTTGAGGTGTGATTAATCCCCAGGAAAAATGTTACCAGGATTCCCTTTGTAACCATGACAAAATGCTGCGGAAGTCCACCACTTAGTTGCTGAAAAGCACTGAACATTCGCCTTCATCTGACAAAGTCCTTCTGAATAATACAGGGAGGTTCAGGAGGGAAAGAAGGCAGGCAAAGGATGGGATGCCTTCTGCACTTGGCTGTCAGGAAATTCTGGGTAGAAATTCTTTCTTTCTCTCTCTCCCTCTCGCTCTCTCTTTTCTTTTCTTTTCTTTTTGAGACAGGGTCTGACTTGTTACCCAGGTTGGAGTGCAGTGGCGTGATCTCTGCTCAGTGCAACCTCCGCCTCCCAGGGCTCAAGTGATTCTCCCACCTCAGTCTCCTGAGCAGCTGGGACCATAGGTGTGCACCACCATGCCCAGCGAATTTTGGTATTTTTTGTGGAGATGAGGTTTCGCCATGTTGCTGGCCTCAAACTTCTGAGCTCAAGTAATCCTTTCACCTTGGCCTCCCAAATTGCTAGGATTACAGGCATACGCCACTGTGCCCAGTCCAGAAATGTTCATAAATTTTTTTCAAAGACCTTATTTTTTACAGCCATTTTTTAGATTCATGCAGATTTGACTGAATTGAGTGGGTGCCCCACCACCCACCACCACTATCAACATCCCATATAAGCTTACAAGGTTTTTTTTTTCTTTTCTTTTAGAGACAGAGTTTCACTTTGTCACCCAGGCTGGAGTGCAGTAGACAAACATAGGTCACTGTAGACTCCAACTTCTGGCTCAAGTGATCCTCTTCCCTCAGCCTCCCAAGTAGCTAGGACTATAGATGCATGCCACTTAGCCCAGCTATTTTTAAGTATTTTTGTAGAGATGAGGTCTTGCTATGTTGTCCAGGCTGGTCTTGAACTTGTGACCTCAAGCAATCCTCCTGCCTCGGCCTCCCAAAGTGCTGGGATTACAAGTGTGAACCATTGTGCCCAGCCATAAATTATTCTTTTTACATGCCTCAGAATGATTACCTCTAAAATTACTGTCTGAATATACATAACCAAGAGTGAATTTTATGATATGTTTAATGGGGGTCAAGCCTTTTTCTATAAAAGTGAAAAAGACAACCACAAATTCTTACAACAGACGTCGGCAGCAGCCCCAAACCTACATGGGGGGTGTTGTCCCAGCTGCAAGTGGCTCAGCTACAGGGTTTCGAGATGAAACTCCACGGCACAGTCTAATGACCTGCTGGGCTTCCTGGAGTTAGTGGGGAGATTGGCTGAATAAGTGGTCTCTGCAGACCCCCATGCATGCCACCCCTTTGCCCACCATAGCCCACTTGAACCCACCACTGTCATAACTTTCCAGGTCCTAATTGGGACCACCTACTCCCCTTGGAGGGTCCGGATGGAGTCTCCCCTCCGCGGATGCCTCTCTCTCATCCTCCACCACTTTGCCGACAAGGAAGGAAGGATAATCGGCAGGAGGGAGTCTTGCTTGGTGACCATCTGGACAATACCTCACACATGGCAAGCTGGATGCCTGTGGGTGACTTTGGTGGGTGGAAACTGGTTGGCACGCTATTTAATTTGGGCTTTTTGTGGGATGACTGCACACTGGTTCTCTTTTTTTCTCAGACCTAAATTTTGACCACACAACCTTTCAGCCTGCTCACCCCTGCTTACCGCCATCCTCCTTTGGGCTGGGTTAGACTAATCCTCCCCTTGACAAAGCCTTCAAAGCAGCCTTCACAAGATAAGAGTCGAGACCCCTATCTTACCAATACATTTTAGTGAAACTTCTAGTAAACTCAAAGTGCTTGCCAACATCCTTAGGAACAAGCAAGTTCTTGCAGCGCCCCTGTGGGGTCGCTGTTGAAGTATCTTTGGCTGCAGTGGTGTAGAATCCATCTCAACAGAGTTGACGGTAAAGACCAGACATGTAGCAGCCTCACTGCTTGTTGGAGGAATCGCCCTTAGGAAAATTTCCCAAGATAGTAGTTTTCCCATCTCCGTACTTTGCTAGTTAATGTTCTCCACTTGCTTGGGTTTATCCTTTCAATTCCTTTGCTAATTAAACTGCTGAAAAGTATACATTCGTAAGAATAGACACTGTCAATGGACTGCAAACAAAACTCTTTTCTGTTATTGATGATAAACCATTTCAGAGAAGACCAGGCTGAGTCTAAAGGGTTCAGATAATTACAAGGGGAAGGTAGAGAGAGTAGTTCATGGCCATAGGACTTGGCCACCTCTGGGCAACACGCAATGCTTGCTAAGTTAATGACTGTAGGGATATAGAACTGGCCCTCAGCCTCTCTGTCTTCCTTTGGCCTCTGCTCTTCCTGCTGTCTTCTCTCTTTGACCACGATGACACACTTTCCATAGGCCTTCCTCACCACATCACAGAACTCAGAGAAGAGGCTGTCTTCTTGTTTGATACACAGCTCATCTCTTAGGAACAACCGATATTTCCAAGGCACCCATCCTTGACTACCCGCAGCGTGCACAATACACCAAGTTGGGGTTTGTATGAAATATCCATCACTAATATCTTCCCCAGTTACTAGACTTTCTGAGATATTGGTTTCCCCAAAATATACAGTCTTAAATCCATCATACTGCAGTGTTCTCAGTGTTTTCAGATACTGGAGGCATTGCTTCCTCTTGATGCCATCAAATTGACTTCTGATAATGACGTTTCTTAAAAGAGGGCTTGCAAAGCGAGGCATGGTGGCTTCTCAAGTGTTTTTAAAAGCTTGCATGTCTGCATCTGGGGAGAGATGGCAAGTGGGGATGATGACTTCATAAAGGGCTTTCTTACAGCGGTGCCAGTCCTACAGATACACTTCAGGTTTCAAAGCATCATGGAATAAATACTCAGAACAACTGCCTTCTGACCCATAAAATATGGAAATTGCAGATGCTACCCATAAAAAATGCTACTTTGACATCACTTCTGCAAAAGGTCTGAGACAGAAGTTAGCAATCTTTTAATAGTGATGAGCCTACCCATTTGGCTTAAGATGGGGAGAAATGTTTACATTCATTTATCCATTTCAAAAATATATACTGCCTACCTGCTACACACCAGGCATTGTGCCAGGCACCAGGGGTATGGTCATGACACACCTAGGGAGTCCTGGACTTACGTGTTGTGTGTCTGTGTATGCATAGAGTTTGTGCCAACTGCCTTTCCATTTGCACAACTAAGAGTGATTTTTTCCAGTGGCAGAAGGAAGGTATGGCAAATAGCAAAATAAAGTCAGTCTGCACACCTAGCTTCCACTGGAGCTTGCAGGTATTATTATTATTTTTTTTTTTTTCTGAGAGGGAGTCTCTCTCTGTTGCCCAGGCTGGAATGTAGTGGCGCAATCTCAGCTCACTGCAACCTCCACCTCCCAGGTTCAAGTGATTCTCCTGCCTCAGCCTCCCAAGTAGCTGGGATTATAGGCGCCCACCACCACGCCTGGCTAATTATTTGTATTTTTAGTAGAGATGGGGTTTTACCATGTTAGCCAGGATGGTCTCAATCTCCTGACCTCATGATCTGCCCGCCTTAGCCTTCCAAAGTGCTGGGATTACAGGCATGAGCCACCATGCCCACCAAGAGCTTGCAGTTATTGAGCTAATTCAATACCTTATCTTGAAAGCACTTTTAATTTTATATACTCAGGCAAAATGACAGTTTGCTTCAATCTCTAACAGTCTCTTCAATTTCCTTTGTATTTTCTTGCCTCTTTAATCAGAGCTAAAGACGTTTCATAAAATGGGCATGAAGGATTCCCTCAAATGAAGATGTGGACAAAATGATTGGTCAGGTCCTTTGCTCTACTGTTGAATGGAGGAGGATTTTTTTCCCCCCACACACACAGGAGTTTTCTTGGAGCTCAAGTTTGGACAACCCCAGATAGTAAGATAATCTCATCATGGTAAAGTTAATAAGAAATATGTGATCTCCAAACAGCCTCTCCTGGAGGCCAGGATCAGCAGGTTTGGGTGGATAATTGGCTTGTGGTCATTTTCTCTTAGGATTTTTCTTTTAGTAGTGGAAACTGTTTTTCAGATCAAATTTGGATGCCAACTATGTGGAACAGAAGTATGGCTGCTGTGGTGGATTTGATCCCCCTGTCAGCCACACCCTTTGTCTCCCCTTACCCCAAGGGACTCTGTGGCCTGGAACCGCAGTGTGAAATGCTATATAGTGCAATGAAGTCAATTCTAAGACAAGAGTTCTTTGCCTCTCTCATCTAATTTTTAGTTATGGAGATGAGACACTTGTTCAGAAGTATGGAAAAGTATATATAATATGTTATCTTTTAGATATGTGTGTAAATATGCATATGTATACAATGTGCTTATATTTTAACGCATAAACAACATGAATAAAGCAAACACTCCAGACTTCTCCAAATGTATCTTGTTTTATAGTTTTCACTTTGGAAAATGTCAACATTTTTACATTAAAAAATATTACTCAGTCATAAAAAAGAATGAAATCACGTCTCTTGCAGCAACATGGACAGAACTGGATGCCATTATTCTAAGTGAAATAATTCAGAAACAGAAAGTCAGATACCACATGTTCTCACTTTTAAGTGGGAGCTAAATAATGTGTACACATGGGGACAGAATGTAAAATAACAGACTTTGAAAGGGAGGTTGAGGCAGGAGGACCATTTGAGGCCAGGAATTTGAGACAAGCCTGGCCAACATGGTGAAACTCCTTCTCTACTAAAAATGCAAACAAATTAGCCGGACATGGTGGCTGACACCTGTAATGTCAGCAGTTTGGGAGGCCAAAGTGGGTGGATCACTTGAGGTCAGGAGTTTGAGACCAGCCTGGCCAACATGGTGAAACCCCATCTCTACTAGAAATACAAAAAAATTAACTGGGCATGGTGGTGCATGCCTGTAATCCCAGCTACTTGGGAGGGTGAGGCACGAGAATCATGAGCTGAGATTGCACCACTGCACTCCAGCCTGGGTAACAGAGCAAGACTCTGTCAAAAAAAAAAAAAAAAAAGAAGGAGGAGGGCGAGTTATGAGAAATTACTTAATGGGTACAATGTACACTACTACACTCAAAGCCCAGACATCACCACTGAGCAACCAATCCATTTGACAAAACTACACACCTGCACTTGTACCCATTAAATTTATACAAAAACAAAAAACAAAGGCAAATCAAATAGGAAAATGAAACAAAGTGATCTCTAAACAACACAAACAGTAACTGATGAACCTAGCTGCGTATCGTGTCAGTTCCAAAATCACACAGAGACGAATTGCTTTCGAATGACCCTACAACACAGTATTTTGATCATATATTCTCCAGTAGGGTATAAGCTAAGGACAAAGAAAAACACATGAAATCTTAGATGGTACCTGGTAGTTTTATTGTTAATAATGATGCTGGTATTATTATTTTGAAACTCATGTCCATTTCTCAGCTACCACTTGATACTAATTTTTTTTTTTTTTTTGAGATGGAATTTTGCTCTGTCACCCAGGCTGGAGTGCAGTGGCGTGTTCTCAGCTCACTGCAACCTCTACCTCCTGGGTTCAAGCGATTCTTCTGCTTCAGCCTCCCAAGTAGCTGGGACTACAGGCGTGCGCCACCACACCTGGCTAATTTTTGTGTTTTTAGTAGAGATGGGGTTTCGTCATGTTGGCCAGGCAGGTCTCAAACTTCTGACTTTAGGTGATCCGCCTGCCTCAGCCTTCCAAAGTGCTGGGATTACAGGCACAAGCCACTGCACCCGGCCAGTGATTTTTAACCTTTATCAATCTGATAGACAAAGAGATCATTTCATTGTTTTAACTTCTTTAATTATGAGTAAATCTGGCCATATATTATGAAAACAATGACAAGAATAATTTGATACAAAATGCACAAAATCAGACGTCCTCGAAGATCATTTTAGAGGCAGCATGAAGTGGGGGCAGTGCTGGCGGTGGGGGCTGGGTGTGGAGAAAACCAGCCAAAGGAGGACTCATGGGATCCTGGAGCTTTTGACTGGGGTTCACTTGGAGCCCAGACTCAGGCCGGTTCTGACAGGAGCACCTGCCAGGCCTCAGCTTAGGGGCACAAGGTGGGACACATGGACTGGGTGTGTGGTCCCAGAGCCTAAGAGGCACCAACAGAGGGGTCTCTGCAGAGACTAGCGTCTGGCCAGGAACTGCTTTTGCACAAGGAGCCAGAAGTAGTTTGCCCCAGTAAGTGGGGGCCTGGACTCACGCAAAGCATTGCACCACGGATGGCCAGAGAAACTCAGAGAACCTTCCTCTCTCTCACTTCCTCTGTAGCCTCCGCCAAGCCAAGCGGTCAGCTCCTAGGACTCCCCTCCCTCCACCTGAGGCTGCTTCTCCTCCCTTCCTCAGGAGTCTCCAGCCTCCTGGGGTTTCCCCTCCCCGCTGCCAGCTCCAGCAGGGGCTGTCAACGGCCTGGGAGAGAGAAGTGGGCTTCCTGGGGCCACCTCCCCGACTTTGGAGTGTTCAGAAGGTGATGGAGTGACCACCAGGGGGCAGTGTGGACAGGTCTCCATAGGACTGGTCAAGCAGACTCCTTTGCAGCGACCTCGCAGGACAGGAGCCCTCCACACACCTTTCCCACGGGAGCTTCTCCCTCCACCCCGAGTCACTACTATCTGCTTTCCTAGAAGGCACTTCTTTACTTTTAATTCTTCTCCACTCTCCAGGTACCTGATATTCTCACATGGGGCACTGTAATTTGTTTAATTCATTTAAATTGATTTCATGTAATTGGGAGATCAAGATTGTTCAGTTGCAAGACAAAGTCTTAACTTGAACTCTCAGGACAGGGGTGGGTCCCTCAACTCAATGCGTGAGTGTCGCTGCAGGGCTGTTGGGCCATTTTCCACCTGCCATAGATCATATTCTTCATCCAAGAAGAGGGAATATTTAGAAACTGGCAGTACAAAAACAAAGCAAAACAAACAAACAAAAGAAAACCAAAACAACAAAAAACACCAAATCACCAAAAACAAACAACAACAACAACAAAACGAAACAAACAAACAAAAAAAGCCCAGAGAAGTTGCTACTGTAAATAGATGTGTGTATACATGTGGCTGGTATGAATCTTATCCACAAATTCAGTTTTGTGGGAAACATCACATTTATTTATTTAAATCAAGTCATATTGGACTTGGGCATGGTTGGAGGTTCTTACCCCACCCCACTTCCCAAGGCCAGTGCACAGGCAGGGCCTTGAGGTCACCCTTGGGTCTAGGTGCCCAGATCCAAGCCTTTGTGGTCCCATCATGTGGGCACTGGCATCTTTGCTGAGGTTAAGAATTTCAAAGCCGGGATCCAGCCCATTTAGGTAAACCCGAAGTCACTCTCCCAGGTGGCCCAGTCATCTTCATGAGAACAAGAGCCATGAGCCTCAGTTCCCTGCCTCAAGAGCCTCCGTTCAACCCTAGGCTTGTGGACAACTCTGCCTGTTCTCTCCCCTCAGTGTCACGGTCCCTGTCCCATCCCTCTCTTGAACAAGTACCACAACCTCCCCACCACACACAGGGAAAGGGCCGGCCCTCAGGTTTTTGGCCTGGCATCTTGAATCTCCTCCCAGGCAACAGGCCACAGAGGGCCTGACATTCTCCTGTGAAAAGCTGGGCGGAAGGGAAACACAGAGAACAAACCCACAGAGAACAAACCCACAGACAACAGACCCACAAAGAAGAAATCCACAGAAAACAAACCCACAGACTACAAACCCACAGAGACCAAAGAAAAGATGCATAGACAACAAACTCACAGACAACAAATCCTTAGAGAAAAACCCACAGACAACAAACCCGCAGACAACAAACCCGCAGAGAACAAACCTATAGACAACAAACCCACAGACAACAAACCCACAGACAACAAACCCACAGACAACAAACCCACAGACAACAAACCCGCAGAGAACAAACCCGCAGACAACAAACCCGCAGACAACAAACCCACAGACAACAAACCCACAGACAACAAACCCGCAGAGAACAAACCTATAGACAACAAACCCACAGACAACAAACCCGCAGACAACAAACCCACAGACAACAAACCCACAGACAACAAACCCGCAGACAACAAACCCGCAGACAACAAACCTATAGACAACAAACCCACAGACAACAAACCCGCAGACAACAAACCCACAGAGAACAATCCCACAGACAACAAACCCGCAGACAACAGACCCACAGACAACAAACCCACAGAGAACAAACCCACAGAGAACAAACCCACAGAGAACAAACCCGCAGAGAACAAACCCGCAGAGAACAATCCCACAGACTACAAGCCCACAGACAACAAACCCACAGACAACAAACCCACAGACAACAAACCCAC